GTTGTTGTTGTTGTTGTTGTTGTTGTTGTTGTTGTTGTTGTTGTTGTTGTTGTTGTTGTTGTTGTTGTTGTTGTTGTTGTTGTTGTTGTTGTTGTTGTTGTTGTTGTTGTTGTTGTTGTTGTTGTTGTTGTTGTTGTTGTTGTTGTTGTTGTTGTTGTTGTTGTTGTTGTTGTTGTTGTTGTTGTTGTTGTTGTTGTTGTTGTTGTTGTTGTTGTTGTTGTTGTTGTTGTTGTTGTTGTTGTTGTTGTTGTTGTTGTTGTTGTTGTTGTTGTTGTTGTTGTTGTTGTTGTTGTTGTTGTTGTTGTTGTTGTTGTTGTTGTTGTTGTTGTTGTTGTTGTTGTTGTTGTTGTTGTTGTTGTTGTTGTTGTTGTTGTTGTTGTTGTTGTTGTTGTTGTTGTTGTTGTTGTTGTTGTTGTTGTTGTTGTTGTTGTTGTTGTTGTTGTTGTTGTTGTTGTTGTTGTTGTTGTTGTTGTTGTTGTTGTTGTTGTTGTTGTTGTTGTTGTTGTTGTTGTTGTTGTTGTTGTTGTTGTTGTTGTTGTTGTTGTTGTTGTTGTTGTTGTTGTTGTTGTTGTTGTTGTTGTTGTTGTTGTTGTTGTTGTTGTTGTTGTTGTTGTTGTTGTTGTTGTTGTTGTTGTTGTTGTTGTTGTTGTTGTTGTTGTTGTTGTTGTTGTTGTTGTTGTTGTTGTTGTTGTTGTTGTTGTTGTTGTTGTTGTTGTTGTTGTTGTTGTTGTTGTTGTTGTTGTTGTTGTTGTTGTTGTTGTTGTTGTTGTTGTTGTTGTTGTTGTTGTTGTTGTTGTTGTTGTTGTTGTTGTTGTCATAGCTGTTGCAAAGTGCTTAAATTTATGTCTCGACCCTACACCGATCACTGCTTCGCTTGAGCAACTGTGGGATAAGATCAAAACTACGAGCAGAACAGTTAGCGTGGGCGTTATTTACTTACCACCGGACCGAAAATCTGACCTAAACTGCATTGAAAACCACGTCAACTCAATTGGCGCAGTGTTATCTCGATTGGACAACAATGACTTGGCTCTGCTACTCGGTGATTTCAACCAAGCTGGCTTGATTTGGAATACAGACACGAACAATCAGCTGCCAACTGTTGATGTTCTCGTTGAAGTATATCTGCATCATGTGGCACTCTACTTGATGGTTTCAACCTGCATGGCTTAGCGCAAATCAACACCGTTTTAAATAGGAATGCTCGACTGCTTGACCTTGTACTAGCGAACGAGCTCGCTCTCCCGGAATGCTCGGTATCTGAAGCTGCAGATCCTTTGATAAGTCTTGATGCCGATCACCCCGCGTTGGAAACATCCATCAGCCTTCATGGTCCCATCGGCTTTGAACTCACCGAAGATGTGCTAGGTCTTGATTTCCGCAAAGCAGACTTTCTTGCACTGACTCATGCGATTGAACAAGTCGATTGGCAAATGCCTGAGCAATCACCCAGCGTCGACGAGGCTGTCGAAAATTTCATTGGGATTGTCAACCGCATAATCACTACTTGTGTACCATTACGAAGACCTCCTTTACAACCCGCTTGGTCAAACGCTCGACTCCGTCAACTCAAGCGACTGCGATCAGCAGCCCTTTGAAAATACTGTCAAACACGCACCGCTCTCACAAAACGATGGTTCTCTCGAGCTAGCAGCAACTATCGGAAGTATAATCGGTTTATCTACAAGCGGTATGCTATGCGAATGCAACACAACCTTCGCACAAACCCTAAATTGTTTTGGTCGTTTGTCAACACTAAGAGAAACGAAGTTGGCATTCTTACGGAAACCTCTCTTGGAGATGGACATGGACATTCGAGAAATGTAACCTTCTGGCAGAACACTTCAGACACGCCTTCAACGACACAACTGCCTCAGCGGATCAAGTGAACGAGGCAACCAGAGACACGCCAAATGATGTGTTTCGTTTCGACATCTTTGAGATATCCGAGGAGCTAGTGGAGTCTGCCATTAACAAGATGAAACATTCGATTGCTGCTGGTCCTGATGGGATCCCCGCATGTATCCTGAAGAAATGTTCCTCCGCACTTACTAAGCCATTAACGAAGTTGTTCAACCTTTCACTGCAGCAAGGTGAATTCCCTAGGAGTTGGAAATCCTCCTTTATGTTCCCAGTATTCAAGAAAGGAGAAAAGCGCAAAATTGAAAACTATCGCGGAATCACTTCACTCTGTGCCTGCTCTAAAGTGTTTGAAATAATCATTAATGTCGCCCTATTTGCAAGCTGATGTAGCTATATTTCTCCGGACCAGCATGGGTTCTACTCTAAGAGATCTGTCTCTACAAATCTAGCACCATTCGTATCCTCCTGCCTTCGGAATATGGAAGCAGGAGCACAAACAGATGTCGCCTATACGGATTTGAAGGCTGCTTTTGATCGAGTTGATCATGCTATCCTGCTAGCTAAACTGGATAAGCTTGGTGTGTCACAGGGCTTCATTCGTTGGTTCAAGTCTTACTTGACAAATCGAGAGCTCTGCGTGAAAATCGGAGCAGCACAATCAAACTCTTTCACCAATACATCCGGTGTCCCTCAAGGCAGCAACTTAGGACCGTTGCTTTTTTCAATCTTCATTAACGAGGTTGGATTGATTATTCCGGATTGGTGTTACAGGAACTTCGTCACGCTGAGTATTCAAAATGCAGCATCATCTCTTTTCATCGCAAGCAGAAGCCAATCAAGTTCAACTATACAATCAACAATGAACCTTTGCAACGTGTGAGCAGTATCCGCGATCTAGGAATTACGCTTGATCCTGGAATTACATTCAAGCTGCATTATTCTGAGATCATCGCTAAAGCTAATAGACAACTCGGGTTTATCTTCAAGATTGCTGATGAATTCCGTGATCCAACATGCCTGAAAGCACTGTACTGTTCTCTCGTGCGTTTAATATTGGAATTTGGAGATGTCATCTGGTGCCCATACCAAACGATTTGGATAGCGAGAATCGAATCCGTTCAGAAAAAATTCGTACGTTATGCATTAGGCCACCTCCCATGGAACGATCCCGTCAATCTCCCACCATACGAACATCGCTGCCAACTTTTGGGCCTTGATACATTAGAACGTAGACGCACTATCGCTCAGGCAGGGTTCGTTGCTAAGGTATTTTTGGGCGGTATCGACTCTCCAAGTATGCTAGGAGAATTTATGCTCCTGAACGACCATTGCGGACAAAGAATTTCTTACATCTTGGGACGCGCGCAACAAATTATGGCCTGCATGATCCAATAAGATTCATGTCTGCTAGTTTTAACAGCTTCTACGAATACTTCGTTTTCAACATTTCTGCGGCTGCGTTTCGTAACCGAATTCAACGAAGTCTGCACGAGGGATGAAATCTACTGAAAATTGGAATAATTCGACGTGCAATGATGGGCAAAATTACATTTTGCAACAGGTGAGTAACATTCAAATGCTAACGGCACCGGTGGTCTAGTGGTAAGCGTGATTACCTCTCACCCCAGCAGGCCTGGGTTCAATCCCAGTCGGCGCCGCCGGGATGTTCTGAGGCATAACATCTCTGATCACGCCTTCCTTCGGATGGGAAGTATAGCCGTTGGTCCCCGGTTCATAAGTTGATGGGTCGATAGGTAGAGTCCAGGTGTGGGAGCTGCCTTCCTGGCACGTCGGTAGCATTGGTGCTCAGCACGAAAAACAAGATCGACGGAAAAAACAAACCAAAGGAAAAACATTCCAATGCTCTCACAGCTTAAGAAATGTGCTACCTGAATCTTTTTTACTTGACGACGAGGTTTGCTTCCAACGATGGACCATCCCAATTACACATTTTATGCTTCTGACTGCTGCTGACATCATGTTTGTTAAATGTTGTGTTCCTAATTTTGCATTTTGTATTGTGTATTGTGAAAAGATGTGGGTTTTTTACGCCATTTCGGCTTTTCCCCATCAAATTATCAAATTTCATTAAGACAACACAAAGTCAGATGGGAAATATTAAATAAATAAATAAATAAATAGATGCCATCTGCTTGACCTCGAAATGCTTGATCGAAGACGTAAGCTACAACAGGCTACGTTTAAAGCTAAATTACTCAACGGTGACGTCGATTGCTCTCATCTTCTGTCACTGCTTGATTCCCGTGCTTCAGGTAGGATGTTACGTCAGCAATCCCCCCCCCCCCCCAAGCTTTCATCGTACTCTCTATGGCTACAACTAGCCTATTTGTGCAATGGTTCGTATGTTTGTATCCGTCGAGTCCACGTTTGATTTTGGTTTGTCCACACCTCATATTGTGAATAGAGTAAGATGACTGAGCCTTATTGAAGATAACGAATAATTGATTCATTAAGACAACTTTTTTTGATGAATTATTAAATAAATAAATAAATAAATAAATAAATAAATAAATAGAACAATTCATATGTATTGAGATTTCTTGTTTAGAAAATTGTATGATCCTATCGAGGCAAAGTTTTTGGTTAGCTTTGCCCACTTTGGTGAGGCAAACACAATGATTTTCTTATACCCAGATTATAAAATATCGTGCCTTTAACGACAAGGCTATCTGAAGCTCATTAATTTACCGCATTTGCACTGAACAACTTTTGACTGTTTGATCTCTAACTCACATTTATAACCTCGTTCGTACTTCAGGAAACATTTCGAGGCAATTTCAATAAGCAATACATTATCCAAATTGTTCCAGCAAGCTCACGCTCAAATAGTTGTTTGACACTCCAAGCACTGCGGCCATACATTTCAACTAATAGAATAGAGCAACAGTCCGATGTGGTTCGAACTGATAGCAATCAACTTGACTAGGCCATTAACGAGACAATTGCATCAACTGATAAGGCATTCGATGCACGGTGAGACGCAATGACAGGCGCTGTCCACCACCCCCTTTTCCCGTCAATCAACACATCATTGTTCGTCATATCTTGTTCTTGGAAACCGTCAAGAGGCTCTCGGTGCTGAGGAAAGTGTAATGCAGGTAGTTTACCCAAACAGGTCGCTATCAAGTGTGGCACTCAACGCGCGGTGCTAATTGAATTCAGCATCGGCATTCGTGTCACGACGCCCATACACTCGCGTGTTCAATTCTGTTCGAACGCCAAGTGGTACAAGTTTATTGGGAAAATATTTGCATTTCTGCTGGTTGCTTCAAGGGTGCGATCCTTGTTCGGTGCTGATCTCTTGTTGTTTGCAGTTTGCTGTCACATTCAACGGAAGAAAATGGTTCATGAAGATAGTTTTGATTGATTGTATTCAGACGAGAAAAGTCACACTGTTCTAGTTAAGAAAGTGCAATAGTTTATATTAGTGTAAAGTTCAAGCTGGGAAATAAGTGAAAAGAAATCAAGATGAAGAACGCCGGGAATAATCTGCATTACTTTACCGACTCTTCGGACGATGACGATGAAGAAACGACGATGATTAAAAAGTAAGTAAGAATCTAAAAGAAAACTGATTTGCAAAATCAATCTGTCGGTACACGCAAAATAAATGCACGTCAAATTAAAGTGTGGATTTCCTACGTCGTCTATATTTGTTTCGTGCAATTACAGTACTTAACTAAGCAGATATTTTTGAGCAAATCTGTAATATAATTTAAGATCTCCCATGAAAAATCAAAAACAATATATCGAAATACGTCACTAGCCTCCATAGCTTGAAAATTTCATAGATCATGAAATCATTTACGTAATCGTTTGTGTATAGTTCGAAAGTTTTTTCTCAAAAAAACCTATGGATTGAAACTCCACTCACCCTTGAATCATCTGCTCCACAGCGGTAGCAGGAAAAGAAAGACTGAAGAAAATACTTGATGGAAATTGACTCAATTGAATATTCAATCAAGAAAAAGAATTTTTCTCCCCTCCAATAAAGGTACCCTCACATTATAGATTCCAAGAATCGCACACTGGAGTGTTTGACCCAAAAAGATGGCCAAAGCTCTTATTTGTTGATTTTTTTTGGAAAAATTGGATCAATACTTGATTGTAATTTGTTTTTCTGTAAAATTGCGCGATCAAAAACAACAAACAACACGGAAGTGAAACGTTTCTATGGTGGCGGCGTGCGTAGTTGTTGTATAATGTACGAGCTCCAAACTGTTGTTAAGAAGGAGACCCACCTTCATCCGTTGCTGTTAGATAGTAATTTGTGATTAATGACTACCTCTTAGATAAAGGATGTGTATCCCTCCAACAGACCAGAGCTGTCCTGGCCACATCTTTGTATCTGATGGGGAAAGGGGAGGAATGTTAGTCCGACACTTACTTAAGAGAGATGCAGAGAACTCTACGACCCCTCATAAGTGTTACGGGAAGGGTGGATTTTTGTTAGTAGGGAGGGTAATCATAGGCTACGCCCAGCCGGCATTGCAGGCAATCGTTATATCAAGCATTTAATAAATAGAAGCTGTAAGTAGTTTATCTGTTCGTTGTTGCTGCCCATTACCTAAATATATTATTCAACACAGTCTTCAGATTTGGGAATTAAGAAACGTTATCAGCTCGATCATGTTGCTCCTTTGCGCCTGAATATGTTTGTTGATCCTAAACATATGCACAATTCTCATATGTAAAAGGTTATTAATATATAGTATGTGGAATCGTAGATTAGAATGAAGATTCGCCCTTGGCTCAACTCCAGCTGTCTGGCAGTTGCATAATGGATAAAATCTGCCTGCAATCAATTCTTATGAATGCAAGAAGCTTGAACCCGGGAGTTAGAAGGCGACAGCTCTACCGCAGCTACAATAGCCCATTTCAAGAACGCAAGCATTCCGAAGCTATTTTCACACATAATCAGCCCCACTCCAATACGTTATCGATGCAAATATACACCATTGATAATGTACTGAAACTTTCAATCAAGCAGTAGTGCAATACTTGATTGACGTGTATTTAGTAAGTTTTGAATTGATCGGCTTGGAAATAGATGGATATTTCCTATCGAGGGCAGAAGAACGAAAAGGTAAATAAACTTAACAGAGCGTAACTACGCTTAGGTGAGAACAGTCGACACCACATGCAACGGGTAAGAATTTGAAAACGCGATAACGCATACTGTCTCCATCGAAATGGTTCTGTACGCACTCACGACTCGCATGGCCATGAGCCAGAACGTACTGCTCAATTTCCTTTGGTTCTGCTTCGTTTTCAGCGCTTCAATCCAGGCTGGACCTTCGTACCTTAGTATCGATCAGGACACACTAGCCAGAAGGCGCCTCTTGCTGCTGCTTGGACCAGAATTGTTCGGCATGATTCTGGCTATTGCGTTGAGGACCTTCGCCGCCTTCTCGCAAGCATATTCGATGTGGCTGTTAAAGTTTAGCCGGTCGTCGATCATCACTCCCAGATACTTCAGCACACGCTTCGAAACAATGGTGTGCTCTCCAACGGTGATTTCTGCCCGTTGCACGGCTTTGCAGTTACTGACCAACATCACTTCTGTTTTGTGGTACACAGATAATAATTCTGAATTTTAATAGTGATGTAAACATTCATTCACGTAAACTTGTATTTCATTTCACGCAACCGAGCAACTTGTAAGCAATGTTGTTTACAACAATGGGCTTTTGTAAACAATATATGCTACATTGCATGAAAGGTCTCAGAACTTTACATGATATGTAATGCTAACTTATATGATATGTGACGCTCCATTTATGTGCATCATACTGAACAGAAATTAACACTATTTACTTTGCGAACTGTGAGGCTATCTGCAGCTTCGCTCCTTGCATCCAGTAACCAATCGTATCTATCGCCTCGGCCGCCAGCATTTCCATTTCTTCCAGCGTCTCACCGGTTACCGTAAAGACGACATCGTCCGCAAAGCCAACGATCTCAACTCCTTTGGGCAGCTTGAGCGTCAGCACGCCATTGTACATTCCATTCCACAGCGTGGGACCTAGAATGGAGCCTTGTGGAACTCCCACCGTGATTCTAAGCGATTTCTGCCCCGTGTATGTCGCGTAGACCAGGACCCGGTTCTGGAAGTAACTACTTAGAATCCTGCAGAGGTAGTCTGGAACCCTCATTCTATGGAGCGCCTTGGCAATGGCCTCCCATCTGGCGCCATTGAATGCATTCTTCAAATCAATCGTAATCACGGCGCAGTATTGATTTCCTCTCCGCTTCTGTTTGGAAGCTTTCTCGGCTCTGTCAATCACTGTCCGAATTGCATCCACCGTCGATCTCCCTTTCCGGAATCCAAACTGCCTCTCCGACAATCCGTGTTCACTCTCGGTGCATTTCGTCAGCCTGTTCAGGATGATCCTCTCCAAGAGCTTTCCGACAGTATCCAGCAAGCATATTGGCCTATACGATGCAGGATCCCCCGGCGGTTTTCCGGGCTTCAGCAACAGCACACGCTTTTGTACCTTCCACCTATCAGGGAACTGACCCTCATCCAGACATTTCTGCAGCACCATCTTTAGCATGTCCGGGAACGTCTGGATCGCCGCCTTCAACGCCAGGTTGGGAATTCCATCCGGGACGGGAGCTTTATTCGTTTTCAGCCCTTTCGCTGCTGCTATGAGTTCCTCGTAGGAGACTTGTTCAACGTTGTCTTCATCTACCTCGCCATATGGTGTAGGAGGCCAGTTCGTTGGGTCATGCTGTGGGAAAAGTCCCTCCACGATGACTTTCAGCTTGTTGGGACACATTTCAACCGGCATCGTTGGACCTATGATCTTCGCCATCGCGACTCGGTATGCGTTGCCCCAGAGGTTGGCATCGGCGTCACGGCACAGCTCCTTGAAACTATTTGACTTGCTCAACTTTATCTTTCGTTTCAGTGCAGCCCTGACCTTTCGGAACACCACCTTGTGCTCCTCTCTGTCTGCTTCCGTTCTTGCTCTCTGAAAGCGCCTTCTGGCTATAAGACAAGTAGCACGGAGGGTGCCAATTTCCTCGTTCCACCAGTAAACTGGACGTCGCCTGTTCGTTGTTTTCAGTTTTCTCTGCATAGTTGTGTCACATGCCCTTGCTAATGATTCAGTCAACTCGTTCGCGCTTAGACCCGGGACGCTGCTGTCTACCCTTAGAGCTTCGATGAAGAGATCCTTATTGAATGCCTTCGTCTTCCACTTCCGCTCGCTTACTTTCGTCCTCCGCATTTCCACCGGTGTCCGTTCGCCGATACTGTACCGGATCACCTGATGGTCACTATGAGTGTACTCTTCGCACATTCTCCAGTTCATATTTGCCATTAGCGACGTACTGCAGAAAGTTACGTCGATAATGGATTCCCTACTATCTTTGCGGAAGGTGCTGATGGTTCCTAAGTTGGCCAGACTGACGTTCAACTTTACCAGAGCTTCCAGCAGGCTATACCCTCTTGCGTTGGTACACCTGCTCCCCCAATCCACTGCCCAAGCATTGAAATCTCCTGCGATGACGATTGGTCTCCGTCCAATGAGCTCTCCGGTGAGCCCATCTAGCATCTGGTGGAACTGCTCAATTGTCCATCTCGGAGGTGCGTAGCAACTACATACATAGATTCCATTGACTTTGGCGATCACGAAACTTTCGTATGAGCCCGCCACCACTTGTTCAATGACTTGTATGGCCGCCATTCCTGCTCTATCCGTCACCCAGTTACCATTATCGAGAGGGACTCGATATGGCTCTGCAATGATTGCAACGTCGCACTTTATTTCCGTTGTTGACTGCCACAACAGTTGCTGTGCTGTGTTGCAATGATTGAGATTTATTTGGGTTACCTTCATTATTGCTGGCCCACCATCGCCTTCATGAACTCTGGACACCTGAAACTTCCCGTCACATGGCCGTTTCAGTCCTCCTTTTTGCAGAGCATGCATCTCGGATACTTTGTACAGTCTTTTGCAACGTCCTCCTTCTCTCCGCATTTCCTGCACAGATAAGATCTGTCGGGGCCTTTGCAGTTTCTCGCCTAATGACCGAAGCCCATGCATTTGTAGCATCTCTCCATTTTCTTAGATACCCGAGGAAAAGCTTTCAACGGGCACAGTGACCACCCAACCTTGATTCGGCCTGTCTTCAGCAGCTCGTTAGCTGCGTCCGAAGGAAATCATATCGACGTCGTCTGCGTGCCACCATACGCCTTCCTCAACCGAATTGCCATCGGTACGTCTCGCAGGTTGCATTGCACCTTAAACGCACTCTTCAACTCGTCCTCTGTTGTGATCTCGTCCAGATCCCTGCACTCGACCACTAACTGCTGGGATAAGGCTCTTACGTTCGCCGTCCTGCCAAGAGATTTTTCGACGAGCTCCTTAAAAGCTGCGCTCTTAACCTTAGGATCCCTTTTCAGCTCAAATAGCATCTCGCCTTTGTGGGTTCGCCTGGTTTTCACTACGTTATCGCCTAGTTGTTTCAACTCCGGATCCTCTCTAACTTTCCGGAGAAGTGCTGCGTAGGACGTTTTGTCCTTCGCCTCAACAACCAG